TTCGGCCAACGATATGTATCTACATAACTTCCGAAATTAGGTCTCGGTAATTAATTTTGTGATTTTGGTGCTACTTCTTACCCCTACTTTTGACAACACTTACACACCGTCACTGCAAAAAGAGTAGCAGCCTTGCGAAGCACCATTTTCCTGTACAGCATCTTATTTTTTATTGTCACTTCAGTCCACTGTATTGTATTTTATTCTAGTCAGCGGAATGGTCATCAGAATTCTGATACTTTTTCGTCTCGTCATTATAATGGCACAAATGAGTATATGACTGGAGAGTCAAGCTATGCGAAATCGTTTCAAGACCGAAGGTAAGATATGGAATGACTCGAGGGGAAGCTCCGAATATGAGTCCTGGAGGGTCGGGTGTTACTTTGTAGTTCGAGTGTGGGGCATATACGTTTTGCGTGAGGTGGCGTGATCAATATATACTCCACCACATTCGAACTGCTAAGTAATAGCCGTCTCTGAAATCCTTGTATGGCTGTAGAGCTGGTTATGGAGCGTCCAGAGTTGGCGACCATACATGCGATCAACGCCCAATCGTGTAATCACGTGCGATCGTCAGCAGTGAACGCTCCATTGTGCTTTGTTCCTTGAATATTCTTCGAAATTTCAGCAGGCAGTATAAAGGACAAGACAGCGTAAATCCGTCACGCTCGGGAATGGATAGAACAAGGAATGAATACATGACAGGCGGACGCGAATATAGCAGCCGTCCGAAACAAAAGTTAGTTACGGATGAATTTTGTTGCATTGGTTCGTAAAAATGCAGTAGTAAATACGTATAATGCGTTGCCTAGACATGGTAGTTGCTTGGCGTGCCATCAGATTTTTCTACTTTTTTTTTAGAGAGCAGTATGGTCGCCGCCATATGGATCCGAGCTTTTCACGTAATTTTGATGCTTCAAGTGAATACATGACTGAAAGAAGTTACGCACAGCCGATGGACAACCGCAGGCATGGTTGAACATTAGAACCGTTTTTTGCCTTCAATCTATTCAAAAGAAAAGAACATTCTGTGTTCAATGCTACATACTTACCTTTCCTCAGACGGGGTTGGTTCAGTAGAGCGCTATTTAACTGAATTCGATGTGATTGCCATGGATGTGGTGCTAGGACAGAAGCGACTTTTTCGTTTTTCGCAGCGCAAAACATTTTTCGCTGCGGGAACCTCGGGTCCACTCATGATCAGCGGTGGACCTGAGGTTCCCGCAGCGAAAAATGTTTCGCGCTGCGAAACGCGAAAAGTCGCTTCCTTTCCTAGTGAACCACACTTGATTGCCACCTATGTATGTTCAAGCGTAATCAGATAGTCGCCGTTACCACCAAAAAAGAGAAGTGTTTGTAATTTCCAGTCATCGAGTTAAATGTCGACAGTTTCAGCAGGCAACAAGACGATCGCGAAAACACTGCCCCAGCACATTCAAGAATAAATGGTAGCAGAAACGAATACATGACAGATGATCGGCAGTACAGCACAAAGCAGAAACTTAGGTGGGTATACTTTCTCAACAGCGATACTCTAGGTAATTCAGGTAGCTTGGTGCAGTCACAGAGAGTTTCTTTTCATTTGTTTTGTTGTTCCTTAAGTTTTTCTTTACGATTTGAGTGCGATAACGTTCTATTCTCACATGGAATATTTGAGAAAACTTTCCAGAAGAAGCTATGACTTTAGCATAAACTTCGAGATTGCAGAAATCTGGAACGTCAAGGGGATCGTGCGCCCTTACAGAGACGGCAAGTTAACGAATACCACACTGATTATGCAGAAGCTCCCATAGAAAAGTGAGATTCTTATGTTGGTTCATATCTCCTCCAATAGGAAAACTTGCGTATTGGTTGCTTACATCTTTATTGTTTTAAGTCTCCGTGACTCTTCGTTATCGATGGCCCATCAGATTCGAGAAAGAGACAATAGCATTCCATTATCGAACTCGAAGAGATTCGATGCCTTTGAGCAGAGGTGAGCATACTTATGTTCTGCCGTCAAGATCAATATTAGGTTTAAAATACGATGTTTCACAGCTAGTATTCTGTGACAACCATCTAGA